AGCACAGAATGCGAAAAGGGTTTAAAAATTTACAGGAACTTTATTTACCGGTTACAAACTTTTTATTACCAGCGCAGAATAGACCTGTTAAAGTTACCTCTTTCTTTACAAAGTACCGCCAGTTTCTCAAAGCAAGTAGAGACAGGTCCTTCTGCATTTGGTTTTTTTTTGTTTGCAATAAAAATATGTTTTTCTTTTCTTGTTTTGTTTTGATTTAAGAGGTTACCTAATAATGTAGTTTTTTTTTTATTTCATGCCAGTAAAGTACCTACATTAAACGTTCAACCAGATTTCATGTCATTAACTTTCTCGAATAGAGTTTGCACTTTTCCATTCAATCGCACTTAAAATTTAAGTCAATTACACTCTCAATGCGTTTTCTATGTTGATGCTACTGAAGTGCTTAGTACGCTTTGTATTCTCTAAACGTACATACATATCATACATATTCATACTTAATGCGTTCATACAAATGAAGATGAAGTTTTGTAAATATAGCTCACAACTCATGAGCACTGAAGATATTCACAAGTGCAGTCAATTGGAAAATTCCAACTTCAACTAATTGCGGCAATGGTAACGCAGCTGGTTTCCAGTAACCATGTCTAAGTACAATCTGGTGTAGTATAAAAGGCTTAAGATATATTTTATGATACATATGTATGTAGAAAGGTGTTGCTTGAAAATATTCATATGTATAAACATACATAAGTACATACACAATAGTAATAAAGCAATTATAATCAGACAGGACAACACTGATTTTGGTACGGAAAATGTTAAAGCTGTTTTTGATAGAATTTTTTGTGCTGACCCTTGACCCTGAGGTCACTTATAGTCAATTATTGAACAACCAAAAATGATTTTGACAAACATTTTTTTTTCAATAGCACAATTTTTCAGTATTTTTTTATTGTTGGATGAAAAGAATAAATATATTACTATAAGTGACCACAAAGTTAAGGTGAAGGGATGGTATTTTAAGGGATAGTAATGGAGAGTTCTAGCTTTAATTTATTTTTGGACACTTTGACCTCATTTTTGTCAAAATTCGGAGATGATGGAAACTTTATACTTACGAGTTCGTAATCAGCACAAAAATGTCTATCCATAACAGCTTTACTATTTTTCGTGCCAAAATTGTTTTTTCCTTTTTCTGGGCTGTGTAATTTGTTTCGGTTTTACGAGTAATCTGCCTCTTTAATTTTTTATTTGTATTGGTTTTATAGATCTTCTACTTCTTTAATATCCATAACATTACTTTATCTTAATCCCCTTATTAAGGGGATTGATAAATTACGATAAAATTAAAGAGCTTTTCCCAAAAAAAAAAAACTAAACTTTAATACTCATAAAAAAAATAAAAAATTGTAGTGATAGGACGCGAAATCTTTTTGGGGTTTGATTACCACGTATAAATATCTACAAAATTTGGTGCATAGTTCGGTTAAGGTCCTTAAGTGATTGTACCCCTTGGGATTAAAGAGTGCTGATCAACCTTGTTTTCAAAATGACGGTGGTTCCACAACCTCCTGAGTGCCGCAGATCGAGTGTTACATTCCTTGCAGTCGACTGGTTAGAGGGGTGAGCATATGAAGGTCGCCATCTTATGGCTATTTAACACTCGACTCAGACCACTTACCCATAGCCATATGGATCAATAACCCCACCGACTTTGCTCCCGCGCAGCACGGAACCTACGCCAACTTCAAAAAAAAGTGATTGGAACGACTGCGCGTAATTAACCGACAGCTTCTTCGCCGCCCTCCCACCATCAACAAATGTATATACTGGCAGGTCGCCCGCCTAAGGGACCTTAATTTGGAGATTCGGCAACTCGTAGATCAAGACAAGCGGAAAAAATGGGAGGAGGATTCATAGAGAGTCGATCACCATCTACCACGACTCTCGATCTATGAATGCCGTGCCCGAAGCCCAATCATCACCTATCGCAGACACAGAGCTTCGACTGCTTGAGAGACCTGCGTTACTCTGGTCCAATTACGGTCAGAATATGGTAGACACCTCAACAGCTATTTGCCCAGAATCGAACCCGATAACCCCGTTGAGTGTCCAGCATTTGAAGACACCAAACACCTCTTCATATGTCAGCTCAATCCTACTCAGCTAACACCCCTCTCCCTCTGGTCTGACCCCGTCGAAAGAGCTTGTTTCTTTGGAGAGCGTGAAGGACTGTGCAGTTGCACATGTCCTGTTTTCGTCCTGCGTTCTGATCGTGCACGAGACCCATCTGTTGACGAGAAGTCCCCATATGGTCAAAATTACTCCCCCTCTCCTTACTTGGGGACACTGACACAAGGGTGCCTTCCCAGGCCAACTTATCTGCAGTGCAGTTTCCTGCTGTATGGCTAAAAGCTCTACTTTGCTGCTCTTCCAGCTGATTGTATAGGTCCACAATGAAAAGAAATAGTTAGAGAACGCCATCTTGTGTATAAAAATTAGCTTAATTATTTATGTATGTCGACCCCAAGCTAAACATATAATAATTGCCCCGGAAAGCTAGTGAAAAGCTCCCTGGGTTTCGACAGTCCTTATGTATGGAGGGGTCGTGCTGATGTACGCATATTGAATTCTTTATAGACAATCACAAGGAATCCTGTTCCTAGTGTTGCCGATTTTTTTTTTTTTTTTTTTTTTTTTAGAAAATTAGATATTTTTTAATTAGGCCTTCATAATTTTTGGCTGAATAAGTACATTTGGTTTTAAATTCAGAAAATCAGCGTACTGATTTGCGGAATGGGAAAAATTAGTACTATCGTGATTAAATCAGTACGTCTGGCAACCCTACTTGTTACTAATGTGCGGATCAATCAGAGGGAAGAGATGTGAGAGCTTTTGCGTGCTTTCGGTATAAACGATACCCTGGCGACAAGCTACAAGTACCTTTTACTATTTATCGGAAAAACATAGTTGTTTGAACACTAAATAATCTATGTAAATTTCAATTCATATTGGAACCACAAAATTGCGGTTTATTAAATCGCCGACTGTAAGTAAGAAGATTATTTTCACAGGCAAATGGTCCAAATCTTAACCGGCATACCACATCATGCCCCTTTCTGCTCCCAATCAGTTTCCCCCGGAAATAATAATTTTTCATAATTTTTCCTCTTTTGCGGGGTGTGTACATTTATTTTTATTATTTATTTGGTTCATTTCATTTATTTTTATTTTTTTTTTGGTTTCTTATTCAGGCTACATATACATTTCATTTACGTTATGTTACGAAACATAACGTAACATTACATTACATTATAACAACAACATACAATAAGACATCGACGCAATTACAATACATTACAAATTACAATGCTATTTCTAGATGTGCCTAGAACAGCGCATTTTGCAAACGAGACTCAAATTTATTTGTTTGTTCTACATTACATACTTACAAACACAGTACATGCAATAATTATGCTTTCTTGTGTTTTATAACACTTCTTACTTCTTATATATTTCTGTTTCATTGTTTTAGTTTCTTATTTTCATAAAAATGTTGGTTTGAAAGTTTGAGCGCATTTTGCCATCAGCTGCAAATGCGATCGATCGACCGAAGGCTTTTACGCAGACTCTTTGAAAATAAATACATACATACATATGTATGGGTAGATCCATATCAAATCGAATATTTTTGAAAGATAATCAAAATTCTAAAGGCTCAGTTAGTCTAGACTTAATTTACGTAACGGAACCTAATACATATATTGGCCAACGCACTATATTTTTCTTCAGAAATTTTTTTGGTCTGCCTTATCGGCGGCAAAGTTTAAATCAGCTGGAAAGAAAAATACAAATTATTTGCGCTTCTGGCTAAGTTGACGTGTTGAGTAATCATTGACAATCTCTTACGTAAGTTAAGTCTATACTACCTGATTTCTAATCGTCTCGATTTGGGGGATTTTGCAAGTATATTTTTAGAATATCTAAAACACTATATGTAATTGCAAAAATGGTTTTGGTCTCGTTTTAATGGTGATATTGAGGGTTATAAAGCAAATTTACAGAATTTTAAAATTAAAAATTCGCAAAAGCAAAAACTTATAAAAATTTGTGTCTAAACTTTTATACAATACCGATAAACGATCCTGAAATTTTTAAGCTGTTTTTTTTTTTAAAGAAACCAATTTTTGAATATTGAAGTATCTCTTTGGCAAACTCTAAATAAAGTTATGTTAAACCATTTTCATTTAATTTAAATTTACATATATTCAAAATTGCACAAAATATTTTTTTCCAAGGTTCAAAAATTCATATCTTAAAAAACATCTTAAAAATTTAGAGGCATTTTGTAAAAAAAATATATCCAAAGATTTATATAAGTTTATATATATTTTTAATTCGCAAATTCTGGATTTTTTTGTATTTTTCGAATCTTTTTTTCAATATATATTTTTTTTATATAAACCCAAATATCACATTTAAAACAAGACCAGAACCCTTTCTGTAACTAGCAGTTTCTGGGATATTCAAAAAATAAACTTGCAATAACCAGGAAATTCTAAAATTTTGAACTAAAAAAAATTTTAATAATTTTTAAATTACCAATTTTTTGAATGGGGATTTTTTTTTGAAAACTCTAAATAAAATTATGTTAAATAACTTAAACTTATATTAAAGTTTGTAAAGACGTTTTTTTTTTCAAGGTTCAAAAATTCATATATTGACTAAATCACCGGAGCTTTTAAGATCGGTTAGAGGCATTGTGGAAAAAAATTATTAAAAAATGTATATACATAAGGTTGTGCTTTTACATTTTTTCTAATTTAAAAATTCTGCAATTTTCTTATTTTTCGAATCTTTTTTAAATTTTTTTCTTATAAAAACCCAATTATTACATTTATAATGAGACGAGGACCATTTTTTAAATGATAGTTTAATATTTTCCAAAAATAAATTTGCAAAATCCGAGAAATTGTGAAATTATGCACTTTCGAAAAAAAAAATTTTTGTGACAGAACTTTTTTTATGATAAAAAAAGCTCTGACTAAAATTCATCCAAATAAAAAATTATCGGTTTCAACCATTGCTCAATTCGGCATGGATTGACCACATAAACATACATATAAGTACATATAAGTGTTACATATGTACATAGTATGTATGTATGTATAAGTAAACATATGAACATATGTATAAGCATTTATTTTAAATTATTAATGAAGTTTGCTTTACCGACATTTCGCTTAAAATACTAGAAACCTATTTTTTCAATCAATGACGAACATACATACATATGTTAAATTTCGAAAATATTAAGTCTTCGTGTCACTAATTTTTGTGTCATCTATGTAGCATATTTTATTTATTTGTTATGTAGTTTTCGGACACATTTATATTTAGTATAATTTTTTGTTGTTGCTTCTTCTTATGCTTAAATATTATGTCGTTCGTTTTTAACGATTTCATGGACTGCATTGTATCAGCGTTTTTTTTTTTTTTTTTGTTAATATTTACTACATTACTCTAATTGAACAATACATAAATTCTATACATCTAACTACGTTGTCTTACACAATTGCGTGTGTGAGTGTAAATGTTACCGAAGACTTCATTGATGAGTATGCTTTGATGCGCAAAACAAAAAAATAAATGAAAATAATTTAGCTTAATGCCAAAAATTAGTTTTACCGAACACATACATACAAACATATGTCCATTAGGTTAGAATTATAGCGGAAAAACTTTAACATCCAAGCAGCCGGTACTGCCATTATTATACCAGTGAAATCGAAGGTGCTCTGTGGGCGTGCGTAGAGCAACTGCTCATTGCCCCTGTAGTTTTACAGTCCTAGTTTTACATGCTTGTACTGGTTCCGTAAGGCTGCCCACCACTGCATACATCCGTATTGCAACTTTTTCATTAAGACCCCCTCGTGTCTTCTCAATAAACCATATACAGAAGTAATAGGCTTCGCTACTCGTTTTTAATATCTATGACTCCTAGATACTTCGCTCGTAGGCTTTGGCCATTCAACTTTTTTAATTCTAGGGACCTATTCCTTCAGTGTGTAGCTTCTCACTTTAGCTGAAATCAGCCATGAGTTTATAGGCTCCTCCGATTTTGAAGGATTCTTGTACGTATGCCGAAGAAGGCTATCAGAGTAAACTGCTTAAATTCGAGTCGTTGGTACGGTTCTTCACGGTTCTAATGACTTCATGAAGCGAAAGTGAGATGAAGAGATAAAAGATATTTATTTTGGTGTGAATTGCTGTCATCAAAAATTGGCACTGAAGAGAGCAAGGGATGACGGTAATTCGTTTAAAAATAATTCATCTTCCCACGCTGTCGGAAATATTAAGCCAAACCAAAGAATAGATAAAAAAAATAAATTTAGCGTCACACCCTAATGCACACACATACGAAAAGAGAAAATAGCCAAGTGAGGATAAATATTAGAGTTAAAATTAATCGCGCTTGTAAAACGAAGATAATGTAGGGTAGTTTTGGTCTTTCCTTGCTCTTGATTACAAAAAGTGAACACAGCAGGAACTATACTCGGGTCGAACAAATATTCCTTAGGGTATTTACAATAAAAATTATAAAAATTTAATGAGATATTCTATGATGATTGTCGGAGGTCATTTGAGTTTTCGAAATTACATTTGCGCATTTAGCAAGTGTCTTATGTACAAACGTACATTGTGTACATACATCCATGTTATACTTAGTAAATACATACCTACATATATAAACATCGAAGCCAAAATTTGGAAAGCACGAAACATAAACGTAGCTCTATAAAAAAAATATTAGCCTTATCTGTACGATAAACACGATAATAGTTAAGCGGTATTTTTTTTTTTTTTAGTAAATCAAAGTCTCCAATAATTGCTTCTTGAAACTGGCCAAATTTTGGCATCGACATTTCTGTATGTTCGATATTTGGCGTATGTATGTATTTGTCGTGAAATGAACGTCTCGCATTTCGCCAAAGCATTTGCTGTACAATATACTTACATACATACATACATACATACGTATGTATGTGTGTATACCTATTTATGTACGAGTCTTTTTTGTTTAATATTTTTCCTAAGTTCTACATACACAGTTCCTTTCAATAGTGGCAATTTTAACTTTGCATTTTCTAAGACACATTTTACATTAAAAAAAAAACAAAAACCGACAAACATTTTTCGAAGCTCAAATTTTCACGATAAAACCACTGTTTTTGCTGTTTTTTTTTAATTAGCATTTTTTGTTTCTAAATTGTTTTTCGTTATTGTTCGAATATGTTCTTATAATCAGATATAATTTTCTATAACACATACATACATACCTCTGTTTGTTTGTGTGCATGAATGGAATGTACAATACATGTAAAGCCAACATTTAATGCTACATACAATTATCATTTAATGTCACTGCGACAATTGCTTAAGTCTTGTAACCTACAAACGTACTTACATACTTAGGTAATTATGTAGACGTACTTACTTATGTACATAAGTTCATACATTCTGTGGGATTAATAGATGGCCCAGGAACGGACCGTGCTATGAATTCGTGCGCATACATAAAGCTTTCATAAATTGTTCGTACGAATGGTGTAAATATTAGAATACCAAAAAAAAAATATTTGTGTAATACAACGGCCCCTAGCTACATATCTAAATATGTATATATGTATGTATATCCTTTACATTCATCAAAAGAATTTAATTAGATTATGTGAGGTTACACTGTGTTTACATGAGGCAACTTTTAGTTGAAAGCAACAAACGCCACTAATCGCTTCCAATGAAGTTGGGGTGCAGCGAACTTTTGATTCAACTAATCGCCTCTAAAATTGCCTAGAAAATCGCCTCATGCGAACACCGTTTTATGGCAACTGTTTAAAGTCACCTGTATACAAACATACGTACATATGCAAATAAGGTAGAAGATGATAAGTTGCAAATATGTGCGAAGTGAACAACAACCATTTGTATTTTCCCTCTAGTGTAGGTATGTATAAGTTTTCAAAAACATCGATATTTCGTCCGTAAATATTGAAGAAATTTCCTCGTCGATTGATCATGTTCTTCACTTCACAGATGCTTTGTAGATGCTCTGTCGGCAATCGAAGCCGCACCTGCTGGGAGATAGCAAGTATCTCTGCACGTTTAGCTACAGCCAGACATACAAATGTGTTGAAATGTTCAATTTCAATCACATTTCTTTCAATCGGTGTATTGACCGTGTAAAAATCAAACAATAACTTGGTTGAAAAACCCATTGTACTTTTGGCTCAGCGTTATAGTGGCTTAATAGAACGAGCGTTACGTTTAGTCTGTTGCTCACCAGGTTTCGCTATCAGACCCAGAACATAGAGATAATAGGAAGCCTGTACAGTAGGGTGGTCCAAAAATGCATGTAAAAAAGTAAAGTCGGAATTTTTATGCTCTCACCACCTAAGATTGTTATATATGCAAAAAATATAACCCTCTTTTTTATTTTGAAATCGAAAAATATTTAGAGGTCGCTTAAAGCGCTCAAAGTTTTCCATGTATTTTATATAGGGAAAACCCACTTTTCGTAGAATTGGTATAGAATTCTTGAAAATAAATAATTTTCGACCGAAAAACCCCTGTTTCTCTTCAGGAGACCCCCAGTAATTATTTGTTAACCATTTTTTTATTGTAACTATATTTTATATGTCCACGAAAACCCCTAGAAAATGCCAGAAGAAGCAATGGGGAGATAAATAAAAAATGTTTAGCATTGAAAAATGGTTTGATATTAATAATCCAGAGAACCAGAGTTTTCCAAACGAAAAATATTGATTTTCAAGAATTCCTTACCATTTCCACGAAAAGTTGGTTTTTGTTCCATATAAAATACATGGAAAACTTTGAGCGCTTTGAGCGACCTTTTTGCTTACTTAGTCAGAGTCATACAGGGTTGGGGGTAATAATAGACGTTTAAGACTATAAAGAAATTCCTAATACATATAGGTTGGATCCATTTTGATGTCTTTTAAAATTCTGTGTCGACTGATTTATTTTCACATCGGCCAAAAGATACACAAATTTGTATCACCTTTTCGAAAGTACTTTTAGAACCCGTTATTTTAAAAAGCTCGAAACCCAGATGATTTAAAAAAAATCTGGACTTCTACGCAATCAATAAATGATAAAAAATTAATCGATCCTTGATTTGTGTGGTTTCCAGAAGTTTCCGGTATATTTTTGAAAGCTTTGGGATTTTTTGATGCTTCGATATTTTTTTGAATTATTTTTTCCTTTGAAAATTTCAAAGTATTAAATACATACACCAAAAGTTCTTGCCTTTTTAATCGCTTTAAAAAATTTGCGGTGACTACTGCCTTTCCAATTAGAATTGAAAGCTTTAAAAAGCATTGATATTCGTGAATACAAATGCACAAAAGTGGCGGAGAATGAAGCAGCGTCTTTGTAACGGAAATTTTCTCTGATTTAAATGTACATAAGTATGTATGTATGTACATTAGAGTGGTCCTTAAAAATTAAATGAAGGATTTTTTCTAGGTCTTACTCCCTCAATCGGTAATGTCACTGTCACAGACAACACATATAAATTTTGGTCTCGATTGGAGACGGTGAAGGCGTGTCGCACAGGGCGCAGAGTACATATTCCTCTATAAAGACTAAAAAAGTTAAAATTATTTTTTTTCCGTTACTACCATAGTCGAAGATATCACATATAAAATATGGTCCCGTTTGGAGTCGTTTAAGGCGTGTCGCAAGGACCAGATGCCTCTAAGGACTCAAAAAATTAAAAGTAATTTTTTTTTTCATTTAATGCCCAAAATCGATAATACTAAGTCGAGGATATCACATATAAATTTTTGTTCCGATTGGAGTCGGTTAAAACGTCTGCATAGGGTAATCTGAACTTTGACCCCTGTGCGACACACCTTAACCGACGTCAGTCCGGACCAAATTTTATATGTGATATCTTCGACTATGGTAGTACCGATTTTAGGTATTAGACGGAAAAACAAATTAATTTAAATTTTTTTGAGTCTCCATTGAGGCATCTGAACTTTGCTCCCTGAGCGACACGCCTCAACCGTCTCCAATCGGGACCAAAATTTTTATGTGACATCTTCGACTATAGTATCATCGACGTAGGGGTTGAGGCTCAGGAAATCTGATGTAAAAATATGCTTCCTACATTTAAGGACCACCCCAATGTACATCGAAATTCCCGGTGATACTTATTACGTTTCGCTGATTTTCGTGTCAATAATGCCTAGGCTGCAATTATGTATGTATATACATATGTACATGTAACGAAGAGATCTGTTGTGTCTGTATTGTTGGTGCTGTTGAGGTTATTTTTGGTGTAGGAAGGAACACTAGTTGCAGGCGATCATCAGCCGTCAACCAATTACCAATAATTTTTATTTTTGTTGGGTTTTTGCATTTAGTCTTGTATTTCTGAGCAGACGAGAGATATGTATCTACTACGTAACATTACTCCTTTTCATTGTTTGCATATTCTCGTCGCTCTCTGCCATGTACTGCCATGTTTTGGTTGGCTGGTTGGTGTTCGTGGTTGGTGGATTTCTACTTAAGTTTAATATTTTTATTATTTTTTTTTGTATAAGTATACACTTCCTTTTTGAGTGCTCGGAAACTCTGTTTTTATGGTTGTTGTGCCGTATTTATATTCTTACACATGTTTTGGTTTTTGTGTTTTGGTTTTTTAGCTGTTGCACGTACATTTATTTTTATTTTTCGGTAGTCGTTACCCCATATGCATATTTTTTTCGCAAGTATGTACTTTACACTTTTTAGATTTGAATGTGCATGAAATTTTTCATAATTTTTTCATATTGTTTCTTTTTTTTTTCTACATACAAATTTTTCTTCTTTGGTCATATTTTTTTAACCCTATGTACTAAGTAAATTTGACAATTGATTTTAATATTTAACGGAGAACATTGCCAGCATGTTGCTCTTGGTTTGCCTATTTTGATACTAAAATTACACTAAACTTACTTTTTTCAATTGGTTTTTGCTTTTGTTTTTTATTTATTTTTTTCAGTAATAATTTTATCTCTCGATACGTAAAAACAGTAAAAAATCGAAAAATCATTTAAAAAATCTATAATCAATTCGGCATTTCAAAAAACTTTGCATTGTCAATTAAATGTTGCGTGTGTTTCGCATTGTTGCTTGGTGGCGTTTCCTTGTGTACAACGATTCCTTGTTTATGTTTATGTTTATGTTTTTTTCATCTTTATATTTGATTACAATACATACCTACTTTTTATATCTTTCAAAATTATTTGGCAGATCAATGTGTATTTTTGTTTTTTTTTTTTGTTGTTCTTGGTTTGGTAACCTACAAATACCACATAATTTTTTTTTTTTGGATTTTTTATATTTTTCTGAAAAGTTTACTATTGTTTCTAAATTCTTTGCTTCTTCTACATACATACATATATGTTTCTCATATACATACATATTCACATGAAAATAAACACTTTCTGTCTGCACAAATTGCTATCCTTTACCTAATTCGCAACAACTTTTGGGTTTTCAGTGTTGTAACTTTCACGTATTTTCATTTTTTATTTATTTTTTTTGTAATCTTTAGTATGCGCTATGATTGGTTAAATTTCAACTACAACTATGACGACGTTGTGTGTAAACATGCCTACAAATATACACATTTATGTAAGTAAGTATTTAAAACTAATTCCCAACTTCACGGCCCTTAGGTGCAATCGGCGCCTAAACGTGGCACGCATCGTCTCTTTTGTCCCTGCTACACATTTTTTGTGGCGTCTTACAAAAATTTGGCATCATTTGAAATCCATTGGAATACTCATATTTGTATTTGGGCTAGTAAGTTATACAGTTCGCCGCATTATACTCGCCGCAGGTCGTTTCGCTTTAACGAACACGTCTATAAAATGCAAAAAATCTAAATTGTCACGCAGTTGAGAACTCAACTGAAATTCGTTCTCGTATTTACCCGTAATTTAGTTAACATTTAATTCAATAATTCTATATGGTTTTTGTGTTTCGTTTTTGTTTTTTTTTGTTGTTGTTGTTTTTCATTTACAGCTTGGCTCGATCTTATGACTCGGGTGCAGCGAAAGTGTGAAAATCCTTCAAAGTGGAAGGTGAGTCCATTTTAATTATGTTCTTACGTTTCTTGAGCCTTACGAAAATCTAAATTTATTTAACTTATAAGCGTTTGAGTGTTTAAAGCACTCGCTTTCTAGGGTGGGGTGGTTATAATTCTTCCAGTGTTTAATTTTTCTTTCGTTTGTTTGGTGATGCTTCGCCTGAACCTGCTACATACATACATATGTATATCTATTGCTATTACTGGGCTCGATTCTGTTAGCAGCATTTAAAATATGAAGTCTCCGCAATCCATGGCATAATCAAAGTCCTCGCCGCCTAAGTCTTCAACGCCAGTCGAATGGAAATCAAAGCCACCGATATCAGTGTGGTAGACGGCCCCACTACATGACGTGTCCACGAGATTGGTGCAGTGCGTGGTGGGCAGTGCATGTAAGGTAAAAGTATCCTCACACTGCGACCAAGTCAGACCTGTCAAAAGAGTAATCGAGCATAAATATTTATATATATAACAAGATCTAAGTTTTTAGTTAAGGATTCTGATGTCTACTACATAGGAAAATGTTTTCTTTCTATTGCAACGTATGAGGAACGACGTCATTCGATAGCCATACGTACGAAATATAAAACGTGCTATCACTTCAATGGATCGGATATTCGCATACCGGTTCAAGAAATAACACGTATTAATTCTAATATTTAGGGCTGTCATGGAATCCAATTGCTGTCGGAATTGGATTTAAAAACGACAAAAAAAAATTTCATTGGTGTCATTAAATCCAATGTTATCGGTTTTTTGTTCAAAACGAAATTAGTGTCGATTTTAGGTATCAAAGAAACCAATAATATCGATTTTGCTATCGGAAACAAACCAAGCAGCTAACTGCTGTTGGATTTCTTTTGCTTACTAGTTTTTATTCGTTGCAGTAAAAAAGAAAAAAATATTAATGTACATATTCATATTTTTATTCATAACTAGGGGAAATCATAAAAATACAACGTAAAACAGTATACTTCCAATAACCGAAATGCTACGACTGCAGATGTCTTTTTGCTTTCACTAATTTTTGTTTAAATTATTGAAAACATTTCAATTTTGTGAAATTTCGCCAAACAAATTTACATCGGTTTTGTTTACATTCGAAAAGAGCAAAGCCAAAACGACACCAAATGAAACCAATATTGTTTCGTAACTCCGCTAAAAAGCAAATCCGACTTGGATTCCATGACAGCCCTGATTGATGAATAAATGTTGAGTTTTCATCTCTTCATCTGAAAAAAGTGTATTTATCATTAAATTTCCGACGCAAGTCACAAAAGAATATTCCGGAAAATATCTTGCGGTCAACAATAACGACAAAAAAATGTCGTACTCAAGGCTCAGATAGTCTAGACCTACTTACGTAACGTAATCCAATATATTGGCTAATGCAATATATTTATGTTTATGCTTGTTTTTTTGATGTGGCTTATAAGCGCCAAAGTGACAATGAGATGAAAAGGAAGATACAAAAACAAAATATTTTCGCGTCTGGCTAAGTTGACGTATTGACGATTTCTTACGTAAGTTAAGTCAAGACTAGACTAACTGAACTTTTAGTCGTAGTCTTGCTTTCTTTAGAGTTTTCGGCAAACCTACCATTTTGGTATATAACCATTATATTTGACAGATATAAATATTTAGAAATGAGAATAAAAGTGTACTATCGTCCACGCGACGAAGCTCCTACTAACCATCAAACCACCGTCAAATCTGAGACATCTGTTTAAAAATTTCGCTACAAACTTTATGGGGATTTTTTCGTTTAAAAACGCGATTTTTTTTTTAATAAGTTTGCTTTAAAAGATTTCGGCAACCCTGGTCCTAATGTGCCTAGCATTTGCTACAACTGATTAAGAATACCATCGCTATTGATTTCATATGGGTTCAAAGTTTATTGTTGGAGATGACATGACTGACAGGGTGGCAAGATATTCCATCCCTGATAGGACTATTTATACATAAGTATATCACAGTTTGGCAAAATTAAAAAAAAAAAAATTTCTTTTCAAGTGTTAGGCCTACCGTGTTCGATTCATCACTTCTCTTTTTTTGATGTGGACTGGTTAATGTCGGACCAGATGGCTCAGCTTCTATTACCGAGACGACTTCATTTATTTGACTAAATATTGTCTCTCATCTGCCTTCGACTGGAGGTTCTGTTGGAATATCTTCTAATATAGCTTAGAGAGAGATGTTCTTGAAACATCTGGGCATGATAGTGTTTATTTAGATGCGCTCCCCAGTTTGATGGCTGGGGTTGTTTGCCATTGGGCGGATCGGAAACAATTTTACTCAGTAAGCGCTGGAAGAAATCTTATCATCGAGAATTGTGGCAACACTGTTAAAGCTATTTTTGATAGACTTTTTTGTGCTGATTACGAATCCGTAATCCAGATTTTAAACTAAATGAGCTAAAAAAAATCTTAAAGAAACAAAAGGCGATAAATTAGGCTTAAATTAAACCTAGAACTTTGGACTACTATTCCTGAAAATACTATCTCTGCACATTGACCTGGTAGTCACTTATGTATGTATAGTCATTTATTGAACAGCAAAAACTGATTTTGGCGAAGTTTGAGGGCATCTCACCTAAACTGTTTTCTCCAAAGGTTTTCTTTCCTCTCTGAATAGATTACAACGTATGTATGTTTGTATATATATATATTTGTGTGTTCCACTTACCGCCGCTCCACACTCCATTCGGCAAAGTGGCCCAGCCCCAACCGTGTCCCCAAGGCAGTGCGCATGCCAATGCTGGCTTCGAGTCCGGCTTTTTGCTCAAAATGGCTACAGCGGCATCACTCTTCACCAGCGGATTTTGAACGTAGAAAGTGCGATGGTGGGCCAAAGCTGGATGGGCGCTGCTACTTCTATGTGCCGAAGTTTTGCGTTGTTTAACCTCGGACGTTGTGGCCGCTACAATCAAAGTTAAACAATTAGGCCCATTACTTGTATGCATGTATGTATGTCTGTATGTACGGATGCATTTTATGGACTATTGTGTTCGCATGGAGCGATTTTGCGGTCAAATTTTAATTGAAAGTAACAATCGGCCTTTTCAACTAATCGCCTCAAAAATTTTCTGGAAAATCGCTTCATGTAAACACCGTATTAGCAAATGAATAATTCTATAAAACGTACGTCGTATGCGCACTAAAGGCCGGCGTAAGACATTCATAAGATGCGGCTTGTCAACTACGAGCTCTATTTGGGGTGGCGGAGGCAGCTACATAAATGTCAAAAAACAGAAAATACATTAATATAATGGAGAATACAATTAACAAATATGTATATATGCTTGGATGTATATTAGGGTGCCCAGCGAAAAAAAAATTATGAAATTTCATGACCCTTTGGGGGTCCTTTTTATGGGAAATAATATATTTTCTGATCTAAAGAGAAATGTCGCGATAACAAACATAAAATAGCATTTCCAATAAAAAGGAAATAATTTGTTGTAGGGTCTTGAAATTTTATAATTTTTGTTTTTCGTACATATCTGTGCCAATAAAGAATAACAGCTTAAGTCATATGCTTGTGAATGTATGCATCAGCCAGGTTAAATTCTATTAGCAAATTCATATGAAAGTGTAGAAATTTGATTTCAGCAAAGCCTTCTTCAATATTGCTATGAAGTCTCACAGAAGAATTCCTATTGTGTATTTTGGGTTTGCCTTCCGACTTTAGCCGGTATTCGCAAAGATATATGAATGTACATATATACATGAATACATATGTATGTATGTATGTACTATTCTTATTTGGCTACTACTATGTAAATTAACTTACCGTCTTAGTTATGGCGTCAACCCATTCACTGCAAGGAAAATAAGAAAAAGGCCAAAAGCAAATTTATGAGTACGCATTTCGTACGTAAAAAATTTATTAGACAACTATTTACCTGACTTCCTGTTCAGATTTGGCCAACATCCAATAGACTTTGGAACGTTTTCTCCTCGAACCCAATGCAATCAACTGTGATACACTGCAACCTTCGGGCAGTGGTGGGCGTCGTGGTATTTGCCCAGTCCAATGTGCAATGGCCAACATCTCGGGCGCTTCTTTGACTAGGATTTTACCAGCTGGCGATGATCTCCCAGGTTCCTGAGTGTTCAGGTTTTTGTTTTTTTTTAATGGTTATAATAAACGAGTATGTATGTATGGTTTGCTTATTTTGTATTATTGTATAATGTCTTAACAGACATTAGGAAAATAATTAAATATAACAAATTAAGGCCAAATTCACAGAGCTTACTGAAAATTTGTAGTTAGCTGCCGATTCGAGTTAACTACGCACTGTGAATTTGGCCCTTAATCTTAATAGTAAATTGTTTATTCAAAAATTGCCCTGTGTCAATAGCTTTATGTCCTAGCTGTTTGGGGATGCCATGCGCATTTGCCACAAATTTTATAATGCCGTATTTCTTTCTTTGTTTAATATGAATTTGTACCATATTCTTAAAAAATCAAAAATGTTGTCCGCTTTTGAAATCACCGTTACGACCCTGCCATTCCTTTCACGACATGTAGTAAAGGTCAGCATCCTTTAGGCGGTTACTGCGCCATTAAAGAACAAAAAGAAGACTTTTGTCATTTGTCGATTGGTGACTGTAAACACTGCAGCTGCACCTTACCGAGTAACGCAAGTCTTTGCCCGCTGAAGGCTGGTCACTCGCAAATTATATTTTTAACAGTTTCCTCGTGACAGTTACACTTTTTTTCCTCTATATGACCTAATTTAAAAGCATGTACTGCTGGCAACCATGCTTTGTTAGCAGCCCTACCAAACGACTCAGGTCTTTTCTACTTGTTGATAGTAGGAAATCAGTACGTTTCTTATCGTATAAACAACAAATAATCTTGAGTTCTTTTCCAAAAGCTATCCGCCTTGCAGTCCATGAGCAGATCGTGTAATCTTTTGATTTCCTGAAAAGAACCAATTCCCTTAATCCTTTTATCTGTCACTAATGAGGCGTCTAAGAGAAAGCTCTCCTCGCTCGTCAGCTCTCTCATTACCTTCCACACCCTTGTGTCCTGGGACCCAATATGGCTTTTGCCTTCTTATAGCCTCCTCACAGTCCGCTACGGTAATCGAATTAGTTTTATATGAAAGTAGCTTATCTATGTCGGCCGCTGTGGTATAGTGGTAAGCAGTGCGCGCTTCCACTCCGCAACGCCTGGGTTCAAACCCTGGTCAAAGCAACATCGCAAAAAATATAGAAAAGAGGTTTTTTCTTAACAGCGGTCGTCCGTCGGCAGGCAATGGCAAACCTCCGAGTGTATTTCTGCCATAAAAACAGCTTCTCATAAAAATACAATCGCCGTTCGGAGTCGGCGTAAAACTGTAGGTCCCTCCGCTTTGTGTGACAACATCAAGGCGCACGCCACAAATCAGAGGAGAAGCTCGGACAAACACTAAAATATGTGTAAACGCCAATCTATTATTATATTAGGTTATCTATGTAAATATTTAGCAGCATGTTTGGCTCTAGAAATTATAAGTTTCCGGTTCGGTGAAATGCATATACTGCATAGCCCACTCCTTCGTTCGCTTACACGCAAAGGACATTTAAACTAGAAAGACGGGCAGAGGTCATTTGACCCATTTCATCTTTTGCCAGTTATTTATGGCCTTATCACAGTTAAATATATTCAACAAATTTATTGAGTTTGAAGCCGTTTTTTTCTGGCATACCAGATAATAAGAAGATAAGAGGGGATAGATACTCTAGAATGCTACCATACTCATGTAAGCTGAATGAAGTATGAGAAGATCAGCGCGTTGGGCTATCAATAGCACACATATCTTGATATACAGACATACACGAAATCTCGTGGTATCTTGCATTCACTTCTGAAATGATCCACAAATCCAAAACTGCTGTATACTTTTGTTAACAAAAGACATGAAGGCAATCGCCACGAAAGCACTCAATTCGTTACTAACCTCTCCTCCGACGGGTCTGTTTGCAAGAGAGTGGTCATGTAACACTAACATAAGGTTTAACGCGACCAAGAAATGGAGTCATCTACTTATTAATCACTGCAAAATATTGAACGACTACTGAATATCCTATAACCGACAACATCACACTCTCCCGCACTACCAACGTTCAAACGAAGAATAGGCATTGGGTACAGTCAGAGAAAGAGGATCAATTCATGTTTGCACGGTTGCGTCAAAACTCGAGAAAAAATAGTGGTCGAAGCGATTTTTCGGAGGCATCAGGTATATGTTTCAGCTTTCGCATTCTTTACTACTGCAGTATTTTTTCAAGTGGAACTGATGGCTATTACAACGGCCGCTTCACTGGTATAGTGTGATACCAATCCTGATCATGGAAACTACATTTTCACTGACAGCCAGGCAATTTTTAAATGCCTGGGAAAAATTTCGCCCACTTCAAAAGTAGTTGCTCAATGTCGCCGATCCCTTAACAGGATTGCTGAGATAATTCGTCAATCTAAAATTCACAGAAATTTCCAATGAAAGATGACGAGTACAATCAACCTGTTATATTGCTAGAACACTATGGCCAGCCATAAACGCCCAATGAACTAAGCCTCTACTTAACCTATGGAGGCAAGAAATCCACAGAAACTTAAGTCTGATTGAATCCCACTCAGCTAAACTGGACGCACGGTGGAACGACCACTGAATAAGCTGCACGGACAAGGAAGAGGGGAAAACCATCCGAAACCATGTCTGCCATTGCCTAGCTCTGGGAAAGTGGAGAGCAACAGCTATTGGATGATTAGAGTTTATGGACTTTCTTGCCAAGCACCAAGTGGTTTGAAGGGGAACGGGGACAACTGAAAACCGCATCCGGTATCACAAAGCACCCTGAGTCTAAGTGAGTCCCACAGCGTAGTGCCACTCAACCTTGCCTACCCTAACCTTTTTCAAAAACAAAACTATAATGATAAGAGACCTATTAAGCGATGCATCAGAACAGCATTATTTTGACGTCTTTTCTGTGACGGTTCAAAATGCATCCTATCTACCCTTTTCAGCTTCATATCCACTACTTAATCTGCCTGACTTATAGTTGATATAAAAGTTCGACTATTCGACAAGTTCGTATAAAAAACACCTTCTAAGTGGTCTTGCATGAAAATTTGTGTTTTCGTATATTATGGCTGGTTAATTTGTATGAAGATTTATTTCGACATCCTTCCGAGGATATCAGGATTCTGCATTAAATTATAAGAAAACTTAATATTTATTCAAAATAGCTTCGTTTAAAATTGATGCGGCTTTTTGGAATTGTACGTCTAATCCGAATCTGCTCGGAAGGAAGGGGAAAAAAATACCCACCTTAATTTACTTACATATGTATAAATAATAATTTTGTTTATTATATTTGCACTTACCGTAAACCAAGCCATTGTCGAGTCATCGTACAGCACTACCCATTCCTCGACCCAGCGGTTCCACAGCAATTGCTCTATAAAGTTTATTTTTCGGAAAAAAATAAATAAATTTTGAAAAATATTACAAAATCTTTTCATTGACTCCCAACTCTGAAGGTCAACCACTCTTGGTGGAATAAAATATAAAAAAAACGCAAATGTAATTTGACTTCTCAAGTATTTCTTAGCTTGTTTTAGACATTTGTCCATATGTTGGCAACCAGTGACCCATAACGACATCCTCCCAAGCCCCCAATGTCTTTGGCAAGCCAGAGCTGACACTTGAAGTGAAAGTGAAATTATGAAACCACACAAGTGGGCACTTCATGCATTTATACACATGCTTGCGTACATATGTACATATGTACATTGTACATATATGCGAGTATGTTAAAACGGATGTGAATTCGTTATTGTAGCAAATGCCTTTTTTGCGGCAGTGAGATTCTTGAAAATTTAAATGCGCTTACAAATGTAATCTGCACCATCATCATCACCATCAGCAAAAGCTACAGTTACAGCAACAGTAGTAATAACGAAAACAAAAAAAGTTGGAAAGTCTAAGTTCGGGCGGAGCCGAACATTAAATACCCGGCGCAAGTATTAATTGTATGTTTTCCCCTTTCCGAAAACTACCGCTACATGGTAAGCTAGGGGTTGTTTTACCCCTATTTTAAACGTCTTCGATAGATCGTTCAGTTTGACATAATGAGATAAACTTAACTATGTAGTCGTATGTGGGCGGTATCACGCCCATTTTCCAAAACTCCATAATAATGTTGTTTCTTTTCAAGGAATTGTTAGTATCAATTTTGAGTAAATTAGCATCCTTAAATTTCGAAACATCGAAGTTTCAAGCATTTCTGAAATTTACCGTTATATGAAAAGTGGCTGTAATTTTAGCCCGATCTCAATAATTTTCAACCCTTTGCTTTTATGTGACAAGCACAATAACCGTACCGAATTTGGTACAAATTAGTAGTGGGCGGTGGTAATAAGTGGGCGGCGCCACGCCCTTTTTCCAAACATTTTTATCAAAAACGTATTTCCCGATAAAGAATTATTGCAAGCATCAATTTTGAATAAATAAGTTTTAGTACTTACTGATTTTTTGAAGATTTCGTATTTCTCGAAATAACCGTTATTTGGGAAGTGGGCGTGGTTATTGTCCAATTTTAAAAATTTTTAGCCAGTTGGTATTGTGTACTTAGGCCAATAACTGTTCCTAGTTTGGGAGAAATTGGTCGAGCGGTTACCAAGATATAAACATGTAATCATAAGTGGGCGTGGCTGCGCCCATTTTCCAAAAATGTATAATATTCTTATTTTTCGTCTAAAAATTATTGTAAATATCAATTTTGAGTGAATAATAGTCAGGAGTTACTAAAATATCGCAGTTTTCGTATTTCTGAAAATTATCGTTATATGGGAGGTAGGCGTGATTATTCTCCGATTTTTCCAATTTTCAATACCATCCGTCCTACGCCCGAAGGAAGTATGTGTACCAAGTTTCGTTAATATATCTCAATTTTTACTCAAGTTATCGTATACGGACGGACGGACGGACGGACGGAGAGTTACCGCTTAATCGATTTCTTTTCTAATCATTTATGTATACATTTGTCTAAATATATCTATCTCGATTCGTTTGGCCTGTTACAAACAACCGTTATGCGGACAAAGTTATAATACCCTTGTGCATAAGTGCGCTCGGGTATAAAAAAAATGATACCAATGTCATCTTCATCTACAACAGTGCTACCGACACTTACATACATGCATACATATGTATGTATGTATGTACATCGACAGCAGCACCATAAGCTTTTACCACTAAACAGGCAGGCGGCCCTTAAAAGCCTTCATCAAATCTCACTTCCCCTCCTCAACTAGGTAATATACATACATACATACATACATATATACTTAAAAAACAGTGTAAGCAAATGTGGCTGTGCACCGCTTTACCCCATGGGGCTGCCTGCCACTTAGTGAGCGCTTTGGAAATTTGTGCCATTGTTTGTGCGCGTCGGAAGGAAGGAATTGCTGCGTCATGTCAATGTGTATTGCACTTATGCTGATTTAGCAAATTGTCGCAAAATCCTGCGAAATTGTGTATGACACAAAAAGTATGTAATATACATACATACATACATACCCCGTATAGGCACACATACATACAAATTTACATAGTGCATATACACATGTATGTATGCCTGTGTGTATGTACATTCATTTGATTGTTAATTTTTTTGTTTGAGAATGTTGGCTTGTATCAGTTGGCAAAGCACCACTACCGATGTATTTACCTACATACATACATACATACATACTACAGCAACATTAGAGGAGCATTTGGCCGTGAATCGGCTGATAAGCTAAAGTGCTGCTGCAGTTTCTTTGCCCACTCAACATATTTTATTTATGCCATCGCAAGGACGGAGTTGTTTTTCCGTAAAAATTGTTTAAAAATTTTTGATTGATCTTGCAAATGCTTAGTGCTTTTCTTGTTCATAGGGTGTCCTTCACTTCCCTTTGGCGCTTGTATGTATGCACATAAGTACTTATGTATGTATAGTACTAAAGTCGGTGAATGAAAAATAATTTTTTATGCCGTAAGACAAGTGCTTATTCGCTCTCACTGAGGACTCCACCTTTAGTTACTCACTTTTGTATCGCAACAAGTAGCCTCCTTTGATCTGTTTCCCAACAGTACCTGAAAGCAATGAAGAAAAAAATATTTTAATTTCGTACAATCAGAAAAATCGTTTTCGTATTTTATTACAATGAGCATATGTAAACAAACTGCATTTGAAATTATATTGTTTAGAAAATTTTTATATAATCGTTTATACACTCCCAGTTATTAGATTAGCAGACCCCTTTGATCCCCAGTATGTACAGATTCCCTTTTCTTTGTTTAATATTCATTCATTTTTTTTATAAAAATGTAGCATATTCTACGCCCAACTCCGATTTTAAAATTGTATAAAAATAAAAAAAAAAAACATGTCAAAAAAGAGATGTGCCATCCTAATGACCTACAGAAAATAAGTTGATAACATTTTCAGAAAAATTTCAGATATGCCGTTTTTTAGACCATAAAATAAAGTGCTAGTTTCAAGTGGCCTTTAAATATCGATTATTTTTTACATTTTATTTTATTTTATTTTATTTTTTTTTTGTTGTTGACGGTGCTGCGCAATTCTTCCATATAAAAATTTTGTCGAGCATACTTTGTATGGAAGAAAATGCATGATACTGTCAACCAAAACAATTTCAAAAATCAACGGCATTTTTTAGCCACTTGAAACTCGCACTGATCTAATGACAAATGGGAGTGAATGTATGTAAGCATAAAAATGTCGTGTGCGTCTGTTTATATGAAAACTACTGAACCGATTGAGCTCATATTCATAGCACCTATCGTTAATTGTACTGCATGCGCAATATAACTACACCAGTATAACATGTGTCTATTGTGCAAGGGGATAAATTTACGATAGCTAGCGCTGAAGTTAAGATATTTTTAAAACCTATTTTTATAGCCTAAAGGCCCGTACGCAGCTCTAAAGAAAACGGTCAAGAAGAAATTGCCATTATTTCGTGTGTGTGTGTGTGTTCAAGGAATTTTGACATCTGAGCCTATTGCCCCACTCTTTCCTCCAGAAATAATGGGACGGGCATATATTTCTGTTGCAAACCTGAGTTGGCTTGTGCTATTTTTGAAGTGAAACTTCTTAATCGAGTTCGGAGATGGTTGCGTTAAATATTTAACACCAAGCCATAAACTCTCTATCGTTCGTTCGATTTTTAAAAATGAGGTGTCACATGAAAGGCCTTGTCCTTCGGGTGTACACCATAGCCTTAGTTCCATGAAAGGAGTTGCCACATGTTAGAAAATCGAACTCAAAATTTCTCTGCCGCAGAGGGTTGCGTAAAATATTTAACATCAAGTCATAAAATCTGTATCGTTCGTACGATTTTCAAAAGTGAGGTGTCACATGAAAGGGCTTGACCTGCAGATGTGCAGTATGGTTTTAGTCTTTTAAAGGGTTGCCATATATACGAAAATCAAATTCAAATTATTTATTTAGTTAAACGAATTATCCCAATATGGGTATCAAAAGAAATGGTTTTGAATAAGTTGTATTTTCTAGCTAAATGTAGGAGGGTTGCCACCTGTTTCAAAAGTCAAATTTAGTTAAATTATACAAAAGTCGTACGCTTAAAATACTATACTGTACAGAAAGAGCTTACAGAAACACAATTAAAATATTTTTGAGGTGCCTGAAGAGGGTGGCCACCTGTTTAAAAAGTTAAACTCAAATTATTGAAGCAAATCTTATTATTATAGCTCCGTTATGTTTGCGATAAATATTTAACGCAACGGTACAGGTAGCATATGACGGGTATAGAAAACGAATAGCTGCGTTAAACGCCAATTGGGCGGGAAAAGACTAATGCAAAGACAAGAATATAATCAAAAACAAATATAAAGATAAGATGAAGATGAAGATGAAGATGAAGATGAAGATGAAGATGAAGAT